ATATTGGAGCACAACACTTGGCTGATGGATTACAACACAACACAGTAGCTGTCTTTCTCTCGTTATCTATATCATGTCTTTACTTACACTCCTTCATTTAGACACTCACCATACTAGATCTTGGGCAGAATAAAATCGGAGATGTTGGAGCACAACACTTGGCTGATGGATTACAACACAACGCAGTAACTGTCTTTATCTATATCATTTGTTTACTTACGCTTTTTCATCTAGAAACTCACCACGCTAGTTCTCAATTACAATGAAATCGGTGATGTTGGAGCACAACATTTGGCTGATGGATTACAATACAATACAGTAACTGTCTTTCTCTATACCATTTCTTTGTCTACACTTTTTCATCTAGACACTCACCACACTATCCCTCTGGGGCATGGAAATCGGATCCGAAGCTAATCATAGAATCTTTGAATTTCTGGAACGCAATAAAAGCGGAGCAAACTCATGATCGTGAATCAAAATATAAGGTATATTCCGATGACGAGCAAATAGGAGAAAAATGATGATGTTGTGTCTATTTTTATTGTGTTTTAATATTCAGAAATACAATTAATAAAAGTGGGGATTTGCAAAGTCAATGTGTATTCCGATGATAAATGTTGCCTAGGTTTTTCGATATGTGGTGAGGAAGTGATGTCTTAAAAAAAATAAATACGGTTTTTGGAGAGATGTTTTGTTACTATGCAGTACGTGCAAAACTAGTCCATGGTTTTGTAAGCAATAGTAAAATTTGAGACAGTTGTTTTCAGTTACAATGAATCAAAAAAAGGTTTTATAGGGTAGTAGTGTACTTCTGAAAGATCCTTCCTTGTAACCTTGAATGATAAAAGATTCTTTTCAATAAGAGTAAAATCCTGAGAAATTCTTTTGATGGATGTTCAAGCAGGATTCCTTTCGATGATAGTGGGTGTGGGTGTGGGTGTGGGTGTGGGTATCTCTTTTCTTTACCTACACAAACCCATACCGTTAAGATAATTCGACAAGAACAACAAGAAAAATTAAGCATGACTCCTTTCCTACATATGTTTTACAGTTGAAACTAAATCTGATGATAGATAATGAGTCATCAACGTTCTTTCGACATAGATACTGTAAATTCTTGATTTAGATGAATTAGTGCCAATTGTATTTTGAAAGTATATAAATTTCACTCGATTCTAGAATAATTCTGAACGCTTAGAAATCTGTGAAAACCTTATAATCGTCCTTTCAACATCGAGTTTCGCATCGCATTTCGTATTCGAGTGAAACTAAAGTACTATCTAGTTGAAATTGTAGTTCTCCTTGAATTATACTGTCATTAGTCTGATTTGTCATTATTTGTTCATATAACCACGTATTTTAATGAAGAAAATGGAAAATAACATCGGCAACAAAACGATCATATTCTGATGCTTCACATATCAAATCTATGCCACGAAGTACAAATTCATCAGATTCACCTGTTCAATATTGTGATGACATAACAAGATCTATTTTTTATGCAGCAGCAGCAGAAAGTATAGATAATCGACCAGAAAATATATTACAATGAATTACAAAAGAATAAAACAGATCATTAGGTATGTAAAATAATTGTTCAAATATATTCGATAAGAAAAAATAAAAACATGATTTAAAACAAGTACATAATATAGGAATATCATCACTAGTCGTTTTAATTGACGTTTTATCATCTTCGATATGATTCTATTTAACATAGATATTTGAAATAGCAATGAATGATATTTTACCATTGGTACTTTTAATTAAATAAGATGATTGTTAAATGTCACTAGTAATTAATCGAAATTGTTCATTAATATTTCGGAATATGGCTTCCTTATTTGAGGATCATGTTAACCAATAATATAAAATAAAATCAATAAGAAAAAAAGATGAAGTTGAATCATTCGATATCAACGGTTTCATGTACACACTGACAATTATCACTCGTTTATTATGTAGCTATTCTAGTAATCAATAATTACTACTAGATACACAACAACAATCAAATTGAGTTGATAATATATCATTTGACGCTGTACGATAATGTATTATCTCTTGAAGAGTGGTATCTTTAGAATAAATAGTACTTGTAATTCTATTTTTACGGGTTGAAAAATATAGTTCAATAGGTATAAGTAGACATCATGTTAATCAGGAAATAACGGTGCATCCATTTGTCAAAGCTAATCAGATAATGTTGTAGAATACTTAAAAATATTAATATACATCGGATTTAATCATAGTTGGAAATCAATATTCTACATATCATCGATATGTGATGCTTTATTAAAATTAGTCGGTCAAATATCACATTTTGTACATATGAACTACGGATACCAGACCTGACATATCGACATGGGTCTATAATTACATCTCTTTGTTTTATGTATCTAGATTTTTTCACTCTCATAATTCTATTCTCTTTTCATTGTCTTCTTATTCTTAGAAAATAATTCTCTTATCAAACAAAATAAAAATATAATCTAAACTAATTGATTGCATAAAGTAGAATTTTAAAAAACATTAGTAACATTATTTGTAGTATTTTCTTTTCGAAATATAAATATCCATTAGTTAGGAATGTCTTTGACTTATTCCAGGGGCTGTATGTTCGTTATACTCTTCGGCCTGATTGTCTATCATATGTAATGAATAGACATAATTTTCAAAAGAATGAAAGAGAGAGAGAGAATGAAAATAGAAAAAGAAGATGTAACGTGTCGACTAAAGAATTTGAATCAGTTATAACAATCATTCCCTTCTTGTGGCGGCGGTACTGTTCACGATAATATTATAATTCCTTTCTCTCAATTCATTTTATTGTTATTATCTATTGTTTTTTAATTATCAATCAAAATTTTAAATTAAACATAAAAATAAAAGAGAAATCGATGGCCGATCGCAAATTATTTATTGGTAATCTTGTACGACGTATTACTCAAGATGATTTATGGGTTATGTATTCAGCATTTGGACCATTAGAAGAATGTGCTAAATTCCATGAATCATTTGGTTTTGTTCGTTTTTTACATGCTGAAGATGCTAAACAAGCATTAGATGCTACACATGGTATTACACTTAAAGGACGATGTATTAAAGTTGAATTTGCTGCAACTACAACTTCATGGAGATCAACAAATAATTCATATTGTAATGAATGTCGTTCAGCAGGTAACAATCTTATTCATGTAAATAATGATTATAAATATCTATTTCTAATTATAGCTCGGTATAATATTCCACCTATTCGAGCTGCTGATGTATCAACCAATCGAGTACCTCATCGTACAGTAGTTAATACATCTTTATCACCACCGCCCATTGGTCCTATTGGTCATCGAAGAGAAAGTCATCGAAAATCAAGTATAAGCTGATATTTTTTTAAGAATATTTTATTAAATTTACTAATTACTTTAGAATCGAATTCATCGACAACGAATACTTCTGAAACTCGTCGATCACATCCTTCTTTTTCATCACCACCATCATCATATGCTGCATCTTCAAGTCATATTGCTGAAATTGATGATTATGATTGTGATCTTGATAGTGGATATAATGATGAATATGATTCACCATTAATAATAACATCAACAACATATTCAATTCCAACATCACCTTGGTATGATATACCTATTGCTGATGAAGTATTCATATGGGTAAAATATTTTTTGAAAATAATTATTTTTTTCTATTTTTCTATTTATATTAAAAGGATTTTCAACTCTATAGTGATGTTGCACGTGAACATCCATTAATTAAAATCGATCATTTATCATCGGAATCAACTGATGATGACACATTAACTGTACTGGATTATTTTACGCAATTAAATATTGAAGAATATTTATAAGCATTGTTTTATTTTGTATTTAAGAAGTTTATTAACAAATAGTATGTGTAATAATTAATAATAGTAAACATTACTGATGAATTTAGCTTACTGAAAAGCTTTTGTATAAAAAAATATTTGTTTTTGAAGGTGGAAAAAGTCATATGAAATCTAGATAAATCCCGTTGTTTTGCTTTCTTTTTTTTGTAATTCTCCTCTTATTGTGATACGGACAAGTTATCTAATTTCATTTTTTTTTACTGTATGGATTTATTATTCTTTAACTATAAGTGTCCTGTGTAAATGTGTCATCATCATCATCAGATCTTGAGACTTTCTTTCTCTTTATATATATAACTATTGTTTTCTTTTCTTTTATTAGTCATTTCATATTTAATAATTAACTATAGTAATCAGTAGTTTATTTTCTTTTCATTTGGTGTTTTTTTCTCTATTTATCTATTATAAATTTTCTTTTCATCTAAATGAGTGAAGAGTATTTCTATCCTATTTACCAATATTCATAATTGCATTTAAAGTGTTTTTTTTCTGATAGAGAATGAAACTTAATAAATGTATAGTAATTCAAGGAAATGTATTAAACAATTTTGTAGAGTTAAAATACAACGTTTTTTTCATTAATACAAAGATAAATACTAAAATAACGTAGTTAATCCCTCAGTTTAAAATATCAAGGAAATATGACATATTATATTTTCGAACGAAGAAGTCCTTTCAATTTTTATACAGAATAGTTTTTTCCCTATCGTATGATAATGTAATACTCAAAATGAAATAATACATATTAATCGAATAAAAATGATAAATTGTAATCTGATATGTATATATATTTACAAACGTTTTCTAAAATATAATGTATATTTTAATGATGCATTTATATGTGAATTAGAGGATACGTCAATTAATAATCAATCAAAAGTACGTGTAGGAGTTTCTTTTATAAAGTTGTTTGAGATGGCATTTGAAATCTACATACATATAAAGATTAATGAAAATAGCAAAGCAGAATTTATATCTTCAAATTGCATTTGTTTCGAACTTAATGATAATACAATAATTATATACCAAATAAACTTTTTATCTTAAGAAAATATATGTATGAAATTGAAATCATCAGCATATTGAATATTATTCATCGATATCAATTTTATATTCATGGCACCATGTGTGAGACTGTTTTAATTGTAACTGTAAGTCTTCTTTTTTACTAATGTATGATTTCATCTTTTTTTTTGCTGAATATTTAATAATGCAAAGTATTCTATGATAATAATTCAATATTGAAACCGTTATTTATAATAGTGTATTAAAATTCTAAGTATTCGAATAATAAACTTTCTAAGTGATTCTATACAAAAACTTGACTTTTGTTTTATTGATGAATAAATTAATGTAATAATGTCCGTTTTTATTTCTACGTAGGAAACTGATTCATATGTCAAAGTATGCAGATAAATATAATCAAATAAAAATCTCTCTAAAATAAGAAAAATATTATTTGCTTCGATTAATGATAATATTGTAGATTGTATAATAAACCAAATATTAAATATATATAACATATAATCAAAACTAATAGAATATTTGAAAAGGTCTCTCGACTATACTTATTAATAGAAAAGGAATGTACTTTTCTTTTGGATTTAATAAGGTGCATATGAAAAATACCAAATTATTTACTTTTCTCTCGTATATTTCAATAGAATGTAAGTACTTCAAGCGGTTTTCATACTTTATTTGGTACTTATGGCAATAAATCTCGAGTATAAAAGAAAAATGAATTATTTTGTTTTTTCGAAAATAAACTTTAATCTTAAGAAAGTATTATTCAACTAACGACATGCTTGTGTATATACGTATATATATTTACATATTCGTTGTTTTTTTTTTAAAGAAAGAAAATTAAATGATAAAATTGATACGATGACGAAGGAAAAAAACGCACAATTGTACATAGTACAAGTCAATCACAACAACAACAAACCAACAACAATTTCTTACAAAAAAAAAGAAGAAAAATGTAGAATAATTGATCAAATATAAATGTTAATAAAAAGGAAACCAAAAGCGTTAATAAGTAGCAGCAATAATATTAAGACTTGATTGAATTGTATAAGCAAGTTAAGAGTAAAGAAGCATTAAAATAATTATGCTGAATATAGATCGTGAGATGAACTAAAAAAAGGATAATATACAAAAACAAAATGTTTACTTATACCTATATATGTATATATATATATATATGTATATTCATAATCAATCAAGCTTTTTGAGTGAAGAAAAAAGACGAGCTCAATGTCAATATTTGTTCTCGTCTTTTTTCTTTCTTTCCTAGTAAACATTACCATAACATATGTACAATTTTTTTTGACAGTCAACTGTTAGATGAGAAAGCAAGCAAATAAAGGGGATGCAAACAAATACATACATACATACATGCACATCAAAAATTTATATTTTCACGGGGATACATGAATTTGATCTATATTTTATATTAATCTTTTTACTGTACCGCCTTTTCTTCGTTAGTATAATAATAAATATAAGTATATAGTATTTGTTTCACTTAGTTACTTCGATATTATACAGTATATATATATATATACCACGTGATTTTAACTGTAAGCTTATGTAAATTTGATTCTCATGCATACATACATACATATATATAGTTCTACTTTATGATACTTTTATGTTGGTGGATGAATAAAGAGAAAGAAACACATAGACACAGGCACAAAGGGGATCATGCAAACATAGATTCGAGCAAGAAGGTGACACGGAAGAGAATATGTACAAAACATATCTATTTGTATTTAAATATGTATCTAGAAGCGACGCGTATAGTCCATATCTTTGAGATACCTTCGATGGCCAATATCAATACGATAAAGAACAAATAATATAAAAGCAAGTAAATAACCACCACTTGCACCAACAGCAATCCATAATGAAAAACCAATATTGTCACGATATATTTTCATATCACCATCACGATTCATTGTAAGCATTACAATCCATATGACTGCAGTTGTAAAAACTAAAATTTTAATAAAACAAAAAGGTATAGAAATGACAAAATACATAATTTTAAAGATAACTTACAAATGAATAAAGTTAAACCCGCTAAAAATGTTACAAAATGAGGTGCAAGACGTCGACGACGAATATATAGATAACCACCAGCAAGCCAAAGAAGAATAATAGAGAGTGATGAAGCTACGATTGATAATGCTGCACATGCAACAGCATATGCTAAATATATTTGAAAAATGATAAAAAAAAATTAAATTTTGAGAAAAGAAAATTTCTGATTACATACGTGGACGACAATTAGCTATTGAATCTTTATAGGTAAGAATCCAATCACTACATGTATTATTGTTAGCTATCAGATTAACAAAAAAGATGCCCTGATAGTTTGATGCATTTGCGCTTGGACTAACACTTGTAACATTTGGATAAATCCATCTCGGTGTTAGAATTGCAAGAATGAATGCAATTGTACTTGATACAACTAGTACATAGCCAACATAAAATAGAGCCATTTAATTCAGTTATACTTATCTAAAAGAGAAATAATAAAGAGCATATGATATTCTCAATTGAATAGAAATAAATAGATGGACATTTTTTTTATATGCATCGTATATAAATGAAGGGAGAGAGAGAGAGAAGGGAAAAAAGGAAAGAGAGACATAAGAAAAAAGAAAGTAGAATCAAATCCACCCACGCATTCAAGGTGAGATCCGATAACGGAGATAGAGTTGTCAATTAGTCAAACAAGTAAGCATGAATCATAAGAGAAATATCAATTACTCTTCTTACCTTCTTTTATTATAATGTTTTACTCACTCATTTTCTCACATTCAGTTAAACATTTGAGTCAACAAGAAACCGACAAACGGTGCCTGCTCGATTATTACGCATGTGTATACGTGTCCGACACAAGTACAATGAACTAGAAGAGAATTCTTTTTTCTTTCTTTTTTTTCTTCTTCTTCTTCTTCTCTTTGTAAAACATACATATATACGAACATATAAGCTCATTGAGGAATGAGAAAATGAAGAGCAGCAAAGGCATCTGACCTTCTCATTTCCTTTCAAAGACATATAGTAAAATAACGTATAGAAAAAATGAAGAAGATTACATCTAACTACTCAAAAGTTGAGTTAAACGGAAAATGACGGGAAATATCTTAATAGAATTCCACATTTCTTTTTACTTTTCTCTATATATCAAAAGAAATAGCCGTTCGATTTCTCTTTTTCTCTCTTTCTGTCTTGAATTAACAAAACAAAAATTTGACCTATTTCTATAAATAATAATCTTACAAGTTGTCGATACATTTAAACCAATATATAGGAATCTAGTAACATACCTTTTCTTTTTCTTTTATCAATTAATACAGTTGATTCAATAAAATCACGAATATATCATAAATAGTTTTAAACCAATTAAAGATAAGCAGAAATTTATGTCAACGATGGTAATTTTATGCAAACTTTATCCATGAGACTTGCATTACAAATCACCTCAAGAAATATTCTCTGATTCAGTCGTCAACTTGGATTTATATATGAGTCAGCTTGTAAAAGCAAAAAAAAAAGAAAATACTTCAAATTAGAAGACATGAGAGTCGCAGCTGGTTGATCAAAAGATCATCAAAATTCAGTTCATAATATCATTCAATTTTATGTTATCACAAAAAGTAAAAGAAGTACAACATCGCTTTAATAATCTATTCAATGTTGTTGTTGTTCTTCTTCTTCTTTAACTTACTTGAAAATAACATGTCTATAAACTAGAGAGTACATACTTCAAAGGGAAAAGAAAATGTCTGAAGAAACGAATATAATCAAACAAAAATTCTAAGATCAACAATATCAATATGTAACTGAATATTTAATCATTTGTTACCATATAAATAAGTGTCAAAAAAAAAAGAAACTCGTTCGTTCATATTTAAGCAATGATTAACATTAGTCTTGTGTCTCATGTCTAGTAAATAATGCTTTTATCTTACATATCTTTCGATTGAATTTTGAGACAAATGAAGATATATAATCTTTTTCATCATCTGTATAATCAAACAAAAACACTTGAATCTACCAATTTTATTTTTCGTTTTACCTTAACTCATGCGACAAGGCTCAAAAAGAAATAACAATACTTCTCTCTTATAGGGCAATCGTATTTATGCCTTCAATACTAACGTAAGTTGTTTATACACATATATCAATATACTCACATACATGAATATGGCAAGTTTGAAAAGATAAAGCAGGGATATACATAAACATCTAATGGATTGCAAACGTGTGTATACACACCTTTGTAAAAATCGATTGAATTTGTATGAATAGAGAGACGCAGACGTTGACATATCAACTAAATATAAGTGAGCAATTATAGGTACGTAGATAGATAGATAGTGGTATAAAGGGTCGTTTGTCTACACGACTTTCATAGTATAAAACTAATTAATAGTAGAGAAGAAGAAGAAGAAGAAAAAAACTTGATTTAATAGATAAATTAAAGAAATATCGTATAAAAGTATCATTGATATTTGTATTATGTCATTATTCATATGAATCATGTTGTGATAAGGGTGGAATGTAGAAACGAAAGAAAGAAGAGAAGATCGATTTCGAGCTATATAAATTACATGTTCAAACATCAATGTACTATTTTATGTAAGTTTTGTACGTGCAAAGGATTATAATTTCATATCAAAGAACTAATAAGAATAAGAAGAAAAAAAGATCACTTTTTTCTTCTTTCATTTTTTCGTTTTAAGCCAAACAAATATGTATACAATGTAGGACTGATATATAACTCATCAGACGTCAAGGTGAAAATGGATAAAGTGAGATTTATATGAAACCTTAAAAAACTATCGACGCGTCAGTTCAAACATTAGAAAATCTTTCTAATAAAAGAAACAGACAATATAATACAATTAATTTTACTTATCAAATTAAAAACTAATGAATAAAAATATGATTTACCTTAATAATCACGTCTAAACATCGTATTCATATTTGATAATTTCAAACGTTTGTTAATGTTAGTATATATAATTGTAAAAATTGAGAAGGTTAGAAATTATGTTATGTCTACAATAAAATGCTCATTTTTTCTCTCTCAAGATCGACCTTCTCTCATATTCACATCAGTCAACTGAAAAAAAAGTGCTCATATATACATTTCGAAGGTGCAAACGAAGAAGAGCTCAATTTCTTTTTTTCTTCTCACTTAGCATAAAAAAAAAGGAAAACGAATTCATAATGTATCAAATCTACATACAAGTGCAATATGTCATAATGCTCAATTCGCACCACTAACACCCACATATATATATATATATATATATGTATACCTTTAACGCAATATTGATGATTCTATTTGGACAAAGATATTTGATTACTGCGTTTTCTTTTTATCACGACAAACAGATAAACAAATAGAAAAAGTTTTCTTTGCTACGAGTATTTGTCTCATAAATCTAGATATATGAAAGTTATTTTATGTATTTTTTGTATCAGTATAGAAAAAAAAATGAATGAAATATACCGTATATTACACCAATTGTTAATGATGTTAGTATTATTTAGATTGATGGTGATGCATTTTTTATGTGAATAAAGGCAAATGATTCGTAATGGAATATGCGTTTAATATTACATGTACACATGCCCGATTGAAAAATGAAAAGTGAAAAGAAATCGACATACAAAAGTATACACTAAGAAAGAGAGAAAGAGTGAGAGAGAGGTTGAGGCGGTGAACAGACGCTGCTGGAAGGAGTGAGAGAGAAAAGTATTATGATGAAAAGACATGACATGCAATTTTACTCAAACAGCTTTGTTCTAGTTCTTTCTCTTTTACCTTTATTTTCTAGAATCAAAATGATTTTTGTAAAGAACGAAGTGAATCACTAACAATCAAAACAAATAAACAAAAAAATCTTATTTCAAAAAAAGAAAGAAAGAAAGAAAGAAAATTCTTATGAATCTAAAAGAGACCAGTTAAAAGGCTATACAAGATTACCTTTATAGTAACTACTGAAAACGAAACAAAAATGTAATGCTTCTCAATATACGTAGTTACAATCAAATGAGTAATGATTACCATCTGTCAGTCGTAGTATACGACCATGGTGATATTTATCTATAGATTGAAAACAAATTCGATTAAGACACGTGTATATATATATATATGCCGATATTAAAACCTTGTAGATTGACTACCTATGATATAAGAAGACGGACAAGGCAAATATTAACATCAATAAAGATGACATATTGATAGTTATCAACATTTTTTTTTGCTTGCGGTTTTCGATTTATCTACTTTGTCTTGAGGAATTTAAGTATCCGGTTGCGGTTAGTTATATAGACAATACGAGTTTGAGATTTTCTTGAAAAAATAATCCTTTTATTATATATTAATTGTTGAATAAATATAACGAATATTAATCATATTTATATAAAGACTATGATGAGAATAAATTTCGTTTGCATGCCAGATGATAGAAATAAAGATAAATATTAAATTTTTTTTATTTTCTCATCTAGTGATATGTATGTCAACATTCTAGAATATGATATTCACTAGTCATAATAAACTTTTAATCGTATGCATATTAAATATTATTATAATTTAAAGTTTAGAATGAAACTCAAAATAAAAACTTCATATAAATCACGTTGTTAATAGTAGTATGGTTTCGTCTATATTAAATGAAATTCATTACATATTCTTTTCATTTGAAGAATAAACAATTGTAAATATTAGATTGAAATTTAATGCTAGTTGCATTCGTTGAATAAAAACATTTGCCCTAGATTATAAATTTCTTCGTTTTGTTACATAGGTTTCAATCATAGCGTATCATTCTATTTAAAGTTTTCATGGATAATAGAATAAAATTTTATTTTTGTTTAAAAGAAAAAAAAACCTGGAGACTATTTTTAATGCATAGGTTTAAGTAGTAAAAATTCTTATGTTTGAAATAAAAACATTCTCAATTGATTTATATGTACCAAATGAAACTGTCACAAAATACTCTACTTGTCTTCTCAATGTTACAATAATTTCGATCAAACTTTAATATCTCATCTTTGATTCTGAAATATGTATAATGACTTTAAAACATCCATGTGTATTATATAAATATAAACTATTCATTCTCTGAATTGTCTTACACTTATTCTTTTCAGAATTTAAAGATAACAATGCAAAAAAGAAAATTTCAGTTCATTAGAATAAAGTATATTCATTGTTTTTATGAGATTTATTTCCAAAATGTTTGAATTTCTTGTAATCTCTTATTTTTTGTTTCGGGCATCTAAAGTAAATATAAATTACTTTTATGGTATAATAAAAAAAAACAATTTATCTTACTTTAAAGAATAGTAAAGTGAATGCCAATGCCACAAATAAACAGAATAGAAGAAATACATAACCTTCAATAGCTGATTGAAGTGGTAAAAAGAACGTAGCAATTAAAAATTTACAAAACCAATTCTATTTTAAATAGAATTTATTATAGAAAATATATCAATAATAATAATAACACGTACGATAAACATTGCTAATGATAGTCCAGCAGCACGTGCTTCGACAGGAAATACTTCATTAGAATATACGTATGGTATAGGTCCAAGACCAATTGCAAATAAAACAATAAAGATAAGAATAAATACAATACTAACTATTGCTAATGCTTCTTTTTTCTCTTCAGGATTTTTTGCCTAATAAAATTATTCAAAATAAAATCATTTATTTCTTTTTAACCTACATTTAAAACAATAAATATTGTAAGACCAATCATAATAACTATAATAGCAGCTAATGGCCAAATAATTAATGGACGACGTCCCAATAATTCAATTAATTTTAATGCAATAAGTGTTGCAATAAGATTAATAATACCTGTAGCTAATATACCCCAAAGTACTTTTTCATCACGTAGACCAGCTAATGAAAACATATCTGCTGAATAGAAGAATACCTTTAAAAAAAATTATATTTATATATGTAAAATGAAAAGAAGTCTTTAATTTTTACAGCATCAATTCCTGATAATTGCTGAATAGCATTTAATACTAAACTTGTAATTAATGGCCAACGAAATTCACTTGATGAAAGTACTTTAATAATACCAAGATCTTTTCTAGTTAGTGCAGTTTCTTCATTTTGAATTTCAACTAATTCTGCTTCAATATCATTACTTTGTCGTAATTTACGTAATGATTGTGCAGCTTCATTTTGTCTTTGCTCTTGTACAAGCCATCGAGGACTTTCAGGTAATGTCCAGATAAGTACTGAACCTATCAATGGTAATAAACCTACCCATGCCATTCCCCAATTCCAAGTACTTCAATTATGAAACGTGAAGACAAAAATATTCTTAAATTAGGATGATTTATAATCTTACTTATGTCGTCCTAATATCCATGGTAAACCAATAATTTGTCCAAGAAGAATACCGATAACAATTGCTAATTGATGACAAGAACCTACAGTACCTCGAAGTGCTCGTGGACTAATCTCATTTAAATAAGATGTAGATACCACACAACACATACCTATAATAAACATATAATTCGATCAATAATACTAGATATATATAGGTTAATAAATACCAGCAGCAAATCCAAAGAAAAATCGAGAAATATAGAAAAAACTTATAGCAACATCTTTAAGTTTTCTTGCTTTATCTAAAGTAGCTTTATCGGGATCATTTGTTTCGTATCCATTATATATATATAATGTAATTATCATAAATATTGATGCTACTATTTGAAATGGCATATTTGCAAAAATAGCATTACGTCTAAATTGAAATTATTTTTAGAAATATAATTAAAATAATATGATAAACCTTGATAAACATTTGTACCAAAATTGTCCTGAATAAGCACCAATAAAACCGCCAATAACAAATAAAATATTATGAAGAGAATCTTGTAATCGTTGGCCAATAAGATTATCTTTAGGTATTTCCGGTAGATAGTAATAGCCATTGCTATTCACGGTAGTATCATTATAAACGCAATTCCACCATTTACGTGCGATCCATTGAGCTGTACCAATTTCCTTTTGACAAGGAAATGGATAACCACGCGCCCATGGAACCATAAACTATGTTAAAATAGAATCTAATATTAAATCTTAAAATAACACAAAATAACATACACCATTATATAAATTTGGTCCACCAATATTAACTCCCATGACAAAGCTGGTAGATAGTACAACAATAATAATCGATAGAATTAATGTTGATGTCCATTTCTAAGATAGATCGTGATTAGTTTTTAATAAAATTTCATATCGAAAAACAAATTAGCAAAAAACAAAAGCTTGTACATGAAAAAAACACCTGATTGTTTGGTTCACCAATGACATCAATTGTCGAAATAGCAACCGTACTTTCTGGTACTAATTGAGATTGTGATGGAGTTACATCATCATCAACAACACTTTCATCTTGTGTACTTGACATTGGTAAATTTAATAATTGTTTAGATAAAAAGAAAACCTTTTTTTTATTTCGTGATGATATTGATTGATATCATGGAAAAATAGCCGTAAAAGCGTTTAAAACAACTCGGATTCTAGTATAGAAGGAATGCACTTTGCGCCAAATAACTTAATTAATTACATGTTCTTGTCTCTTTCTTGAATTTAAATATTAGAATTCAGTAAAACAAAAACTAACTTTCTCATTATGATTATGTACATCGTAGTAAGCAGATGATTTGAATGGCATTGTTACAAAAATATCTATATGATTGCTTTCATTACATATAACAGTTATATCTGTATATAAAAAATTATTAAAAACAGTCGGTATTTAACGTTTTTTTT